CCTCAATTCTCTTCACAATTGTAACTACTGGCGTCGCCTCGCCTGTAGTCGACCCCTATTAACGTGAGTCACCATAAACATTTGATTATTTTTATTTTTGTAATTAATTTTTTTTTTTTTTTTTTTTTTTTGTGCTTCAACGTTTACTTTTTTAGTATTAAATTATTCAAATAAATTATTATTATTTTTCTGAGAAAACAAACTTTTCGGGTTGGCAGCGCCAGGTCCTAGGGCCGGACTCAAGCGGGGCGGCGCCGGGCGGGTCTTGGGGCCTAATATTTCTAATGGTGCGGGTCTCGGGACATGCATAATCCATCCTGAACCTGCCCATTGACATCCCTAGAGAGAATGTAACAAAAGTGATAACATTTGTTGTAAATAAGTATTGAATAAAATATAATAGTTAAATGTTTATTTGTTAATTTTTTAAAAAATAATAATGAGATAAATTTAATAGACAAACTAAAAAAGAAAAAAAAATAAATTTGACGGTCGGAGGGAATAATATATATGTATACGTATTATATCATAAATATATACATACAGATATTAATTTACACACAACATACATTTATAAATTATAAACATACCATTACACACATACAAATATTTTATATATAAAGTCAAAAAAAAAAAAACAAAACTTCTTACGTACTTCCACTAACTGATAAAATATTATTTTTTATCTACTACAAAACTCAAAATGCCTATTTGAAGTGGTTTGAGGTAGGATGAAAAGAGTATTACATATATAATACTTCCTCCATCTCAAAAGAGTTGTCTTGTTTTTTCATTTTTGTCCGTTCCAAAACAATTGTCTTGTTTTTTCATTTTTGTCCGTTCCAAAACAATTGTCTTGTTTTCTTATTTAGTAACTATAGTCCTCACTTTATAACAAAATTATTCCTACTTTTCTAAACTACCAATAATTATTACTCTAATCAACTTTTTAAAATCCTTCAAAAAGTAAGGGCATTTTAGTCTTTTACATTTTACTTTATACAACTTTCAATTAAATACTACTACATCCGTCAAATTTCTATTTTCCTAAAGTATATTTGCACGGTTTTTTAGGTGATTGTCTTTTTGTTATGAATTGACAAATTTGCCCTTAATTGTATGGTAGAGATTAAAAATAATAAATGAATGAAGAGTAAAAATGTAAAATTTGTATTTAAAAAAAAATAGGACAATAGTTATTGGACGTCCCAAATAGGAAAGTGAGACATTAATTTATGGACGAAGGGAATATTATTTTTTAATTTTCGTGTCATCACCCAATAAGACGTCTCTTTTGAAACGGATGAAGTATATAATGATATTTATACATGGATAATATATAAATGTGTGCGTTGTGTATATTAATATCGGTATGTATATATGAATGATATAATCTAATCTAATATATATATATATATATTTAGCGTTGATTTTGTATCACCACGTATCTTCGCGTGGGTTTTTTCTTTTCTTTTTTTAAATTTTTAGATGGTGGGTCCCACCAAAAATATAATATATAATTAAATTATATTTGATTTTCTTAATTAATTAGACGTCTTTAAATAATACTTTTTCCGTCAATTTTCTATTGTTTTAGAGTATATTTGCATAGTTTTTTTAGATAATTGTCTTTTAATGCAAAATATAAGATAACTAAAAAAATAAATTGAGGATATTATAGTGGAGTAAGTGAAAAAATGGTGAAAAATTTGATCATTATTTGTTTAAATAAGGATAAAAATTGTGAATGGATAAATTTTTATTATAAATAAATTATGCATAAGTTTGACAGATAAAAAATGTGACATAATTATTTTGATCGGAGAAAGTCTTTTATAATTTAATTATATTAAAATGACAGTAGCAAATTAATAAAATTAGACTTTTGTTTAGTTCAGATATCTTAAATTTTTATCGACATAATTTTCAACTAAATTATAATTTTAAAATTGCTTATAAAAATATGAATATATACCACTAAATATGAATAGTGAGGTTGTGTGGATCCCACTAATATGTCATATATATTAGGAATTAGCCTATTATCCGTGCTATGCACGGGTAATTATAGAAATTGTGATATTAATTTAATTTTATATTTTAAATAATAAATTTTATTTTGACAGTAAAACTTTGTATGAAGATAACAAAAATTAATTTATATAAAAAATAAACTATAAACAAAAATATGGTAACTAAAACCAAATAAAGAATATTAAGTAAACGAATCAAAATTTCATAAATATATTTCAATTTAAACCCAAACATAATATAGATAAAAAATAATTATTCATAATCACTCTTAAATTAAAAATCAAAATAAATTTGAAAGAAGTTCGTTCTAGTCTTCAGTTGAAAACAATGTTCAAACAACATACTAAAAAATATATATAGTAATGAAAAGAAAATCAAACAAATAATATTAAGTAAATCATAAATCAAATAAAATTTATATACCATTTTAAATTCAAACCTAAATTAGATTTAAAATATTTATTTACAATGTTATTAAATGAAATATTACAATAAATTTTTGAAATAAATTCATATTATTGATAAGAAAAAGACAAAAAACAAAAACAAAACAAATAGACTAACAAAAGTAAAAATAAATATTGCATTGTATTAAGTAATAAAAATTATAAATTACAAAATTCATACTTATTAATGAAGTCAAATATAAGTTTGATTAAAACTATTTATTAAAAAATCATATTAGATAAAAACAAAGACTCGAAATTTGAATATAATTTCAATTTTCAACAAAAAAGAACGATATTAAAATAGTACTAATATTCTAAACCAAATTAATTAGAAAAAATAAGTATAGAATAACAATAAATAGAATTGATTAGTAAAAAGTAAAAATAACAAAAAAACAAATAAAAGCATACATACAAAATAAAAATGAAAGTACTAAAATTAAAATATAGTAATTTTATAAATTGGGAAAAAAATTATGTTAATATAATATTCAAAATCAAATTAATTAAATAATATGTATTGAATAATAATGAATAAAAGATTGATTAGTAGCAAATAAAAATAACACAATGTATAATTAAAAAATAAATAGATAATAAGAATAAAAGTAATAACTAAAAATATTTTTATATATATGTATATTAAAATTTACCATAATTTTCTTTATGGTTTCTATAAATATTCTTTCAAATCAGAAAATTACAAACTTAAAACATAATATAAAATATTAAAAATATACTATAATATAATAATTGAAATCAAATCAATTAGAAAAAAATAAATATTCAATAAGAATGAAAAATATTATATTAGTAGAAAATAAGAATAATACAATAGATAATTTTAAAAAATTCATATACAATAATAATGGAGTATTAGAACATTATACTTAGAAACTAAATAAAATAGTAAGTACATACATAATAAGAATGAAAAATATTTTATATTAGTAGAAAATAAGAATAACACAATAGATAATTTTAAAAAATACATATAAAATATCAATGAAGTATTAGATCATTATACTCGAAACTAAATAAATTTGTAAATAAATATAATAAGAATAAAAAAGAATCGATTAGTAGAAAATTAAAATTAATTTAATAATATTATTATACATAATAAAATAAAATAAATAAATAAAAGACAAAAAAATACTATACTTGATTTTTTTTTCTTCTTTCTCCTTCTTTCCTTTTTCTTTTTATAATATGGATAAAAAAAATTGATTAGTGAAAATTTTCGTATAATTTAAAATTTATAAGTCAAAGAAAATAAATTTATTATAAAATTTTCACTATATAAGGAAGGATAAAAAATTATATACATAAATAATATATAAAAGAGATAATGATATTTTTTCACGTCGAAAATCATTCACTTCCTTCGAACGATAACAAATTATATACGTAAATAAAATAGAAAAAAATAATTATGTGAAAACCCTTCCAAAGTAAAAAAAATAAAAAATCACGCGTTGTCCGTAGAAAATTCACAATAATGAAATAAAATATAAGAATTTTTAAGAATACATATATACATGCTCAATCATCGTTAAATCAACCAACAAAAATCACATATTTAAGAAAAATAAAGATAAAAAACAAACTTGAAAACTTTGTCAGGTCGAATAATCCCAATATTTGAAAAAGTAGCGAATTACTAACACTTTTTGAAAATTTCTGATTAATCTGACGGTCAATAAGCGGGATCACCGTTTTTACGAACTTGCGAAATGTTGACAACAATTTCATAATAATTTTTGTTAGGACGATTTTGGCTTAATCTCTAGGTATATATAGAAATACAAAATATTAATTTTATACATCTCTTTGTTATTTATTATCCCGATAAATTTGGATTTTGTTAGATTAGTTGTTATCCTAACAAATTTTAACTAATTATCTATTTTTTTTATTTAAAAAATAAAAAAATTTCAAAATTATGAGAGTACACGCCCTTGTGCTATATATATAAATATATATATGATATCATATGTTCTTTTATAATTTTAAATTCATATATTTTTTAATAAAAATATATATATATTTTTATAAAATATCAAATAAAAAATATTATTTAAATAAAAATAAAAATTAATATTAACTTTAAATCACAATGAAATAATCAAATACACGTTCATATGAGTTCCACAGGAACTTCCTTAATAAAATATTCTATTAATTAATGTTAATATAAAATATAGATAATTTTGTAAATATAAAAATAAATTAATCAGGTGAAAAATATTTTCGGATAAATTAAATATGTATTGAACGGTTTTATTTAGTTATAATATATTTATGAGAGCTAGTGTTTTGTCTATGTATTGAACGGTTTTATTTATTTTATTATAAATCTATGACAATATAAAAAGGCACAATTGGCTTTAAATCCCTATTTTGTCTAATTTATTAATAATCAGTCCCTATTACTAAATTCTTATTCTGCAGTCCCTACTTTTTCATTTCACTCGTTCTTCACTCCCTATCATTTCTTTATTTCTGATTTAGCTCTCAAATCCCTTTCACACGTTGGTTATTCTTCGCGCGGAATTGGGAGTAAAACATGTTAGTCCAGAATCATTGGATCAAAAATCACCACCGTAGCCGCGTTGCCCATAGGCCAACAATCGCGAAGAACCATTTTTTTTTCTTGTTTGATATTTTCGTGCCACTGCGAGCCCTTCTTCTCCGGCGAAGAGCGACGTCGGAATTTTACAAAGGTTAGGACCTCTATTTTAAAATGGGTAGTTTATGTTTTTATGAGGTGATTATTTTGTGATAAATCTTACTAGCGCAACAATCCTTCATTTTCTATTTCATTTCGTCTTCACACTTTTTCCTATTGTAATCTCTCGTTAATTTCGCACAAAATTGGAAGGGGAATCTACTCGCCCATAATCCGGTGAACGTGAAATTGTAATTACAGATCACTGGCCTAGATTCCGACAAACACAAAGACCCATCTATCCCAATTTGTTACGGCCATTGGACAACAATCCATTTCTCTTCGAAGAAGACCCACCTTATTGTTTTCGAAAGGTTAGAACATCTGTTCTTGATTGATTGTAGATATATTATGTGTGGTGAATGAATACCAAATCTCAACCCTGATGCATTTTTCATCTTTTTTCCTATCTCCCATTTGGAAAACACATTATGTTAATAGTAGTAAGGTAAATGTTTAATGCACTTCACATGTTCGATAAAATGTCTCAAAAAGTTACATGTATTAGTGTAAGAGAATTTAATAATTTTTTGTTCAAAGTATTGAGTTATAATTTCACTTTTCATGAATATGCACTATTTTGGAGTTTCAATCAAAAATATATCCTCAATATTGTCATCACTAGTTATTTTTGTGCATTTATAATCTATTGTAGTTTGGTGTTGATATTATAGAAAACAATGTTATAGTGATGGGTAAAATAACATTGTTGGATTGCCTACAGCCTTACTTCTTCAAGTATTGATTATATATGGTATATATAATTATAATTTATTATAGTCCAGTAGGTTTAGATTAGTGTGTAAAATATTATATTCATGTACTCTAATTGTACAATTTATTATATAATCACATATTTTTTCCTAAGTTGCTGAACATTAATATTTTATCTATTTATGGGCAGAAGCATCGTGCTAAAGTGACTATTCTTCATCCATTTACCAAAAACTCAGAACAAATCAAGACGCTGATATCTTAATTGCAGCTGCAGAAGTACTCAATTTGGTCCGTGATAGTTGGTTAAAGCCAGACACAATTGTTGTAATATTTAAATGTGTAATTTTTTTTTTTTATTTTGAAAGAATGTCCATCAATCCTCTCATTGTAATTACTTTTAGCGTGCTAAACATAATATAATGTTGTATATAAATATACAACAATAAGAGAATTGTTGCATTGAAGCTCTTTTGTAAATTTGATGTATTATGGTAGATGAACAGAAATTATGAGTATGTGAGATAGTATTTTTATATATGACTTGTTGACAATAAAGGTTTCTGAAAATTTAACAGAGGTACATCGGAGCTCTATTGGAGTACTTTCCTACTCAACTGAGTTACTATTTTGTTAAAAGCTTCTGATTGATTGATATTTGAGTTTATGAGTGTGAAAATTTAGATTATTATGTTATGGGTCAAAATATTTTAGAAAAAATATGTTTGTCCTATTACACAAAAAACACTTGAAGTCCTAGTAGTAGATTACAACTCGCGCTTTCACTTGAATGTTGTTGTTGTGTGTGTGTTACGATGTAGATTACTATGTAACTGGTCCAAAGATTTTCAATTCCTGGCAGAAATTATTTACTCTTAACAACCAATATAATTTAACTTAGTTATTTATGACTTGTTTAGCCATCTACAAGTGGAGGTTGGACTATAATTGTACATATGCCACACAATATAACGAAGTTATTTCTGACTTATTTAGTCATCTATAGTAAATATATATTATTTATCTTTTCAAACAATTTAAGGTGCCGCGAAAATACTATCACGATGAATTCATCCTTGGTTACCGACAACAAGTGAATAATTTGAACAAAAAGTGTCTGTTTTCCAAGCACATGTTATCAAAGTATATATACTCGTTACTGAAGCATATAATACCAGTATTATAGGTACACAAGATCTGTGACAAGGTATGTTCGTATTTGATGCAGGTATGTAAGTATGCGCTTTGGGTACACACACCGACATTCAAGGTATAAATGATAATTGCTTAGGTATTTTCTTTGTAGTAGAAGGTATTCGTGAATGTGATTGATTTCAGTTGATCCCCTGAGGGGCACAAACTCGGTGAGAGTACTTCATCTCCTAGCATTGTTGGAAAAATTTAAGTATTGTACGTTTATATTTGACAGCTCATACCATACTTTTCAATGGAAAGACTACAAAATATGTATGAGTAACAAAAAAACATAATTTAAATCTAAGTTATTTAATACTTGTTCAGTCATCCATAATAAATATGTGTTATTTAGCTTTACATACAGTTACAGAATTTACGAAAATATTATAATGATGAATTTATCCCTGTTTACAGACAAAAATTGAATATTTTGAATTGAGAACCGCTTGTTTTCCAAGCACAAGTGTCCAGGCATAGATACTAGTTATAGGAGCATATGAGATACTAATTCCGGAGTATATTGGTAAACGACTGAGGTACCCGTTGATGCTAACATGTGTGAATGAATGAGATGTTGTAATATAATGTCGCTCCCATAGTGTTTGAAATCTATTATTGTGAATTTAATTGGAGAGAGTACTCTCCAATTATTAATACTCATTATTATTAATTTGTAAAACCATTGCATATGCATCATAACTAAGTACTACTCTTACCAACAACACAACTAACTAACGCCATAGCCTATTATTCACCTATATGGATCATGTTGTTAATTTTTATAAACAACTTTTTAATTTTCTAAATTGGTATAATTGACTATGTTAAAGATGAATACATCCCATGTTCGAATATTGTTAAAGATAATGTTATACTTTACTTAATGTTCGAGATATGAAGTATTAGACCCCCCAGACATAAATAACTTAACTTGGGGTATTTTCTAGCTTAATATAGGTATATCATTAAATAACCGAGGTCTGTCGTGTTTGACAAGAAGTATGTATCAATGTGATGAGGGCATAAACTTTCGCAGTACATGTATATAATTTTCTTTCTTAGGTGTACCACTAATGTAGTTAGGTATCCATATATGCACTTCTGTTCATTGCAAGCATCACTTCAATCATTGCAAGGTCTTGTAATGAATTAGTTAATTCTAATTTAAAAGCAATATGCATAACTTTTTGGTTTATTGTTGTCTTCATACAAGGATAACCTTCATAATTAATGAATAACATGTATATGAGCATATATATATATGCTTTTTGAAGGTATTTCGATCTAGTTAGACAGGTACATCAATCTGTTGTTGAGGTACAATATGTGCATTATTGCAATTTTAACCATGCGAAGAATTAATCATACGACACAATTTATAGCATTACTCCAAACTTTAAGTTTCACCAAATTTAACCTATAATTTAATCCCTCAATAGATCTTAATATAATATCATTGAACATGAGGCATATTAAACAATTCAACCAACAATTCAATCGAAATAACACACTACTCAAATCAAGCACAAATAACAAAACTCAAATAAATCCCATATCCATCCAAATTCATTACAACATTCACTTACCATGTGTTGTTCATTGAAATCTACGGTTGGTCGGTGGACCTTTTAGTATTTTGGTCGTAATTTTACCGCGATAGCTCTTCATATTATCAAACTTGCTGCCGATACTACCGGATTCGCATGGATGTAACACTCGGAGAACATACAGACCAATCAGTACTACAAACCGATAGATAACCGATATGTAATCTTTATCCAATCTGTAAATAAATATCATTAATACACATTATCCAAATCTTGAATTTATTTTAAAGTTTGTCAGAATCTATCAGGAGTATGTAACAATAGATTACGAGTACACAGTAGTCCCTTAAAAGTCTATTACTTATCAAACTAAACCTGAAAAAATGCAATTCGGGGTACCTAACATAATCGCATTTACCAACCCACAAATATAAGTAATTATCGATCAATCAAACAAACAAAAAAATATTAAATTATGCAACTTGAGGTAACTAAACAAAATGTATATCTATAAAATTAACTAAAATCACAAATTAAACAAATAAAATCACCCAAAATTGGTGTCAAAATAAAAACCCAACTCGGTCTACGTAGGCAAACATATGAACAATTTCAAACCCAATTAACAAACACAACTACACCGCTCACCTAGGGCTCCTCAACACCGAACCGATCGAGGCATACAAATATTGGACTAAGACTTATACCCCAAACAATCGAACAAACTACGATATAAAATACTAATGTTAGACAAAATAAAAAATCGAAAAAGGTCTTACTTTTTTGAGCTTGTCTTTGGGGATGAGAGTGGGTCAGTTGTTTTCTTCAATATTTTTGCACCGATCGTTCGATACTTGATCACCGAGCGTTGGAGAACACTGGTTCACTTGAAAATGGAAGATGTAGGGTTTAAAATCGGGATGATGAGAGTTATGGGAGGTTTTTCTGTCTAAACTCCTGTTAAATCGTAAGTAACTGTCTTTATTTTACTATTTTTTTTTTTTAATTCGCAAAAAAAAAAGTACTCGATATTTAACTAGAAGTATATAAAATTATAACGATGGTAGAGCGGGAAGTAATGTAGGTATATATTTCAACATTAGAAGTATTTATTAATCTATTTCGAGTACTTGTTATGTTTACAACGGTGAATTAAGAGAAAAAATAAATTAGGGAGCTATAATAAACCTAATCTATAAAGTAGGGACTGCAGACTAATTAATTTTCAAGAGGGACTGATTTACAAGTGAATTTTACTGACAGGGACTTTAGTCCAAGTCTCCAATATAAAAATTAAATTTTATAATTATTTCAGGTTTTTTTTTTAAAAAAAATAATTATTGAGTGTGACATTTTATATGCAATATATAAGTGTTCATTCAACACAAATTTTGAGCATGCTTCTCAATTAATACATTTCGGAGGATAGGATAGGTTTAGTATTCGGATTTTCGGTTCGGGATATTGCTAATCCGAATCGATTCGAAAATCTAGTTTTTTGGCAAAATCCAATCCGAATTGATCTAAAATAATCGAAATCTGAATTAAAAAATCAAAATCAAATCGAAAATTTCGAAATAATCCGAAATTCTATACTTTTTGTTATTTATTAAAAATATATTTTATAATACTCTCTCCGCTCCAATACAATAGTCTTGTTTACCATTTTTGTCCGTACCAAAACAATAGTCATTTCGATAAATAATCATATCACCATAAAACTATTCCTACTTTTTCATTATTATTACACAATTGCTACTAAAAAAATATTAATATTATATTAGTAGTGGATAAAAAGTACGGTAAAAGACTTTTTTGTCCTTGTGAGTGTATTAGTGTAAAAAGTAGTGACACTTGTGTAATAATAATGAAAAAATAAGAGTAGTTTTATAGTGATATGATTATTTATGAAAATGAGACTATTGTTTTGAGATTGACAAAAATATTAAATAAGACTATTGTATTTGGACGGAGGGAGTATTTAAATACAAGCTACCAAAAAATTGATGAAATCCAAATGCCTAGTTGGCAAAAGCATTTTTAAATATGGGCCCGGCCCATTAGACTTGGATGTTGTTTGGGTCCGTTCCATTCCTTTTCAAATGTTTTTGGGGCCTGGTCCAATATTAAATATTTATTTATTTAATATTTTGAATTGCAAATTTGCATTTAATATATTTTAATTTGCATTAAATAGGAATTAATAACAAGTCGTGCAATAGCATGATTACTACGCTAATGAGAACAATAATGGGAAGTTTTTATATGTTTTGTAATAAATTTAAGGAAAAGAATTTAATTAGTTAATAATATAAAATGACGATATTATTTTAGTATATTTTTAAATGAGTAATATTATTGGTAGTTTTAATATATATAATTAAACTATATTTTAAATATGTGTTAAAATATTTTAAATATTATATCTCAATAAGATATATGTATTATAAATATCATTTTGGAGAATAAAGTTTTAAATAAGGCAAATAAACAAAAAAATATATTTATTTATTTATTTATTTATAATTAAGATAAAACTAATTACATAAAAAAAAGTTTTAAATGTAGATAAACTTATTTATTTATTGAGAAAAAATATAAAAATAAAGGAGTTTTAAGTAAGTCATATGTGATATATTATATTATATGTTATTAAATTAATTAAATTGATATTTATATTT